CTACTGAATCGTGGTTGAATAGTCCTATCAATAATTTTATGCCTGATGAAACAAGAGAGGAAGAAGTCAAAACGGTTTTGTTTGCTGAATGCGATGACAGCAATTTTATCGGGAAATTACTCGAGTATCATTCCTCATTTTTCAAATTACAAACCATCACTGCATATGTTTTACGATTTTTGCATAATGTAAGAAATCTTCGAATAAAATAATTGGTAATCTTCGTTCAAAGGAATTATATAAATCATTGTTAATTTTAGTCAAGTATACGCAATCTATTTCTTTCGCTCATGAATTGAAAAGTAAAGTTTTCTCCAAACCAATTCGAAAACTGAATGCCTTTATAGAAGAACAAGGTATTCTTCATGTAGGGGGCCGCCTCAAATATTCTAACTTATCCTACGACGAGAAGAATCCCATTTTATTACCCAGAGATTCAAGATTGACTTACTTATTGATTGAATACCCTCATCTCAAATATTTACATGCTGTACTGCAAACAGTTAGTTTCCTTTTGTCACGCCAGTTTTGGATTCTCTCGTCCAAACGCCCCATCCGTGCTGTGATTTCTAAATGTTTGAAATGACGGAAAACGCAACTTCGCAATTTTCAACCCCCTATGGGCAATTTACCGTTGTCTTGTATTTCTCAAGTTAAAGATTTCACTCATACTGGGGTAGATTTCGCTGGTCCATTTCTCGTTACCATGGGTCGTTTTAGGAGAACCAGATCTACAAAAGCGTACGTATGTATTTTTATTTGTTTTTCTACGAAAGCCATCCACATCGAATTATGTAGTGATCTATCGTCTAATATATTTTTATCTGCCCTCCAACGATTTGTCGCGCGACGTGGCCGATGTGTTCATTTGTATTCTGACTGTGGAACAAATTTTGTCGGTGCGAATCGACAATTGAAAATGCTCATGGAGCAAGCTTCAAAGAAGGAAAAAATCGATTGGCATTTCAATGCTCCTACTTCGCCACATTTCGGAGGACTTTGGGAGGCAGGTGTGAAATCTATAAAAACCCATTTGGTACGAGTAATAGGACAAAAAATACTAACTTTTGAAGGATTGTTTACAGTGCTGGTTTTGATTGAAGCTGTTTTAAACTCTCGCTTACTGATACCTCTCAGTTCAGATCCCAATGATCTGTCTGTACTTACGCCAGGATATTTTCTCACTCTTGAACCGCTAACCGCTATTTCAACACCAGACTTTATTTCTACACCCCTCAATCGCTTATCTCGTTGGCAGATGCTTCAACGGATGCACTTTGATTTTTGGAAAAGATATCATAGGGAATATCTACATACATTGCAACAGCGAAGTAAATGGCTCGATCCGATGACTTCAGTTCAAGTAGATCTCTCCCTGTTTTAAAATCTGTTTTTCCGTTAATCAGCTGTCGCCCCCATACACTCCTGAGAAAACCCAGAGCAGCTTATCCAAGAGGAAAACTCCACCTATCAGGTAACTTTGATGCTCTCGTATCGAAATTAATTACAATTAATATTACAGTCCACTGATAACGCCATTTATGTACTTTCGCTATATCATTTGTATTTTTTAACGTACACTGGGAGTCACCCTCAAAAGAACGTTCAGAACATACGTACGGCAGGGAATAGGGCTGGCGAGAGCCGCCAGACAAAGTCTATATCCAATTATAGGTCGCAAAAGCAACATGAGACTTCAAGCTGATAATAAAGACCGTATTATTACCAATAATCCTGTATGCCTTCACTGCATGGGACCAGTGCGCAGTGACAGACGAAATATCCAGACGTTTATGAACGCGTGCGTGCGAGCTCCAAGATACATACCGAACAGATACATATTCCGGGACCTGGACCTGAACATACAAAACGTAGATGCGTATATGAGAGAACACGCAGAAAACGTGTTCGACAGAATCTGATCGCACGCCAATCCATCGCTACGCGATCTACACGAAGCATTAAATAGGGATGACTGCAGATTCTGAGATAGAGATAAACACAAGAGGCCAACCAAGCAGAATAAGAGAATATCCTCGAGAATCGCTACCAGGCGGCTCCGATACTTGTGTAAAACTGTATGTTAAACAGCACCAATAAACTATTCTATTCTATGAAAACTTTTTAATCAGATTTCAAACTCAATTCTTTTGCAGATTCACTGAGAAATACATGTTCGCGATTTGAAGACACTCCGGTTCGTTTTTGGGGGCCCCATGCAATAATTACATTCAAGTTAAGTCACGATTCAATAACATATTAGTTGAGAAAGTAAAAGCACCTAAAGGCTGGCTTTCGACCGCAGAAGGTTAGATGTCAATCTTGCTGAAGTGCCCATCAGTAAGTTGAGGACCGCTCCGGAGGGGCGGGGGTGGATGGAAGAGATGGGAAGTTCTGCACAAAGTAATAGTGCCGAGAAGATTTCATCTCAGGGTACTCAATCCGGCAGGGAGCATGTGGGGGGAATAAGTCCAGTTATCACCCGAAGACGATTACGGATACTAACAATCGAAATGTCATGAAGTAACTTGGCTTG